CGTCATGACAACTATTATGGCAGATGACTTCCGACTAGGTGAGTTCTATTATGTCACCCTGACGACAATACCAAGTTGCGACAACGAGGTCAACCCACTTCCATACATCGAAAGGAGACTGCAACCATACCAGAGGCCACAACATCTTGGTCTTCATATCTTATTGACTTGGTTACTTGAGCCTCGTATGCTAGTTAAAAGGTCGCATAATTAACCACCCATTCTAAGGAGCTAACCCAAAAGTGTGAACTCAATCGACATCAACTTCCATACCTGCAATGGATGATATTGGGACCAAGTTTCTGATCCTTTTCCATCCTTACATCAAAGTCGCAGTATATGTCGAAAAATGGATCAAAATCCTCCACAGTTGGCACATCTTGGTCTGGCCAATCAGTAAAGTGCAGATGGGTCACCTTTTGCACCTCGTCATTCTACAATGTTTTGTTCGATTAGGGGCAACAAAAAGCAATATGATTAATATAAAGATTGAAAATACACATTAAGATGTGAGTGTTGATGTGTGAAATAATTCGCCACTCTAAAGTCGCGTGTAAAAGACGTCTCCTAAGTTGCATCGAGTCATTTCTCATTCTTGGTACCCGATTCCGACAATATTACTATCAAGGTTAAGGTAAAAATCGTCCACCCTTTTAATTTATGCTCACCATACCCACTTTTTCTTGAAAGTCACTGCTGAGGGTGGGGCCGCGTCTAGCATGGTAGCAGCCGTCTAGTTCCAGAATCCGATGAACATTAGGTCCAGTCTGCAGGTAGCGGATGCAGCCTTTTAGCACACTTTTTTCTCTCGCATAGAGACTAAAAACAAAAAATAGGCTCATCAACAAAACCCGACGTGTGTCCGACCTTGCGCAATCGGAGTGATGGTTATAACATGTATGCAGAAAGGGGGAGATGGGGGTCCTCAACCCTTGATGGCCGAAAACAGACGTTACTTTTGCTGTCCTCATTACTATGAGCCATCACTGCGGGTTTCGTGCATAAGCGAATGCAAACAGACACATACACATACGGAGACAGACACACTCACAGGCTTCGAGGTTGATATATGACCGTAACTAACCAAATCACTTTATACCTGAGTAGAGTATATATACCGCTTTTTAGGGATTTTCAGGTAACTTTGCTTGACTCGTTAGCTTGAATTTGGTTGTGACGAGGATACCTTGCTCTGATGATGTTCGTCATATGACTGACGAAAGCTTAGCAACTTTTTACCGGAATCGAAGGAGATTAGCTCAGAAGCAGCGTCAACAAGAATGTTCCAGTAAAGCTACTCGACAGCTGGTCAAGAGGAATCCGCCGTCGTCTTCTGGTGGAATCGACCTTCGAATCTCTTCAACGAACCAAACTTTTCTTCGCATATGGTAGCGATCGACTAGTTCCTGAATCTGATGAACCTTATTTCGAGTCTGCAGGTAGTGGATGCAACCCAACCTACATGATAGCCTAACTTAGGGATGCAGAGAAAAGTGAGTGCGCTTATAAGAGATTTTTGCTAGATTCGAACTAAACGCATCCTTCCCATTCAAGTTAGTATACATTTACATATGGTTGTATAATTATAAAAAGAGGCCTTATTATGTGAAGAAGGTCTTACCATAGTAACTTTAAGTTCCCTCATAACGACTGAATTGTTCAATGACATTTCACTAGTCATAACAACAGAAACAGACTGGAAATCGAAGTAGTACAACATTGACTGTCCCACGGTTTCTGGCCAATAGCGGATGCCTTTGTCGATGCCTTTCTCAACCAAACTGCGGTCCAGAAGTGCGATTTGCCGGGATAGAATAGGACGGGGTGTAGAGCGGTATGGCAGGAATTGGCATGATTACATATAAGAATAAAGTTATTATTCGAGAAGCTCTGGGAGTTTTGAAACATGCTCACACTGAATATATATAGTCTATATTTGCCATTTTTATCGAGGGTGTT